AATCAATTTTCTGGATTAAAAATTTATACAGAAGGGGAAACTACTTAATATGTAATGTTTACTGATGAAATCAGCTTCTTACAGGCCTCTAACTTCTATTATCACATTCAAATATAAATCCGTTTATGCTACCTTGTTTAATAAAGTGACGGTTTCAGCGTAGTGACGGATGCACAAATGTTAATTATGTACGAAATTACAAAGTTTTATATCGTTATAAACTAACTAAATACATCTTTAATATGGTAAATAAATTAAGCTCATGAATCTTTAATAAATTATCATTCACGCCAAATTACGGATTTTAAAATCAATAAAATTATATATTTAAAACAAATGCACGATTTAAAATTATTAATTTTATTTCACAGCTTATTATTAATCAAATTCAAATTACCAAGGTCGTTGTTATATAATTTTTTTTCATTATCAAACCATCTTTCGTCTCGATATTGTTAAGTTTGTGTTTTCTAACCATGATAAAATAAAATAATATTAACGAATTATTCATTATCTCTAAATAACACATATTTGAATAATACCACAAACTCTGAAAGGGATGTGGGATGATATATGTAGCGATACACCACCCACACTGGACGAGGGTATTACATTTGCATAGTGTTCTATCTTCTATCTTGGATATTGTTGGTATATGATATGAATTCTAAATAATTTTCATCAGTGAATCCTGAAATTGGAACATTATAAAACTTTGCAAAATCAGTCAGTAATACTCTCTCTTATAGCTTCATTTAAAATAACACAACCTATGTAAATTTTGAATTACTTTCGCAGTTTGTTTTCTCAGAATTAACTATGCTGTTGATCATTGATTACTGAAAATGGAACATACTTAGGTACTACTAGACACTAGGAAACACAAAATTGAATAAGAAATACAAAGGATGAATGTATTCTTTGTGTTGGTACGTAGAACTACGTAACTGCACCGAAACCTTCTTTCCAACTTCCATTTTTTCTTCACCTTAGCTCTCCTCGTGGTCCACCACCCGCTCTCTTCTTCCTCACTCTTTCACTCTTTCCTTCGTCGTTCGCTCACTCCTCCATTTCTTAGCCGCCTCTCCCTTCTTCATTATCCCTCCCTTCTTTGTCGTCGCTCCCTTCTTCGTCATTGCTCCCTTCTTCTCCATCACCTCTCTTCTTCCCATAAGCCCGCCTCTACGTTGTCCACTTTCTTCTCCGTCAACCTTTGATTTCTTTGTCATCGCTTCCTTCTTTGTCGTCGCTCCCTTCTACGTCGTCGGATCTCTTCTTCTCCGGCCACCCTCTTCTACATCGTTCACTCCTTCGTCACCCACTCTTCTTCTTCGTCATCCGCTCTCTTCTTCGTCGACCAAACAGTGTACCTTCTTTGTCGTCGCTTCCTTCTTCGTCATCGCTCCCTCATTCGTCGTAGGCTCTCTTCTTCTCCATCAACTCTCTTCTTCACCATCCGTTCTCTTATTCCCATCCGCCCGTCGTCCGCTTTCTTCTCCGTCAACCTTTGACTTCTTTGTCATCACTCCCTTCTTCGTCGTCGGATCTCTTCTTCTCCGGCCACCATATTCTACGTCGACCTCTCCTTAATCGCCCGCTCTTCTTCGTCGTCCGCTCTTTTCTTCACAGCTCGATGTCTTGTTCTTCGTTTTATCTCTTCTTCGTTTTCCACTTTTTTTGTCTCCAAGCCTTCTCTTCTTCATCGTTCACTCTCTTCTACTTCTCCAGTAATCACATCTGTAGCTTATATTCTACCAACACATTTTTAAACATTTTAAAAACAAATCATTTGTTTCTATGTGTAATTTTAAATTCATCCTTTTGTATTCGCTTACATTGCTTAGAAACAGACCAGTATTTACTTCACTTACCCAGTGTGTCCGTTCTACAGGGTATTGCGTAGTCCCATAAAACCTTGTTGGATTCAGAAGAGTGGTTAACTCATCTTGCAGTGAAAGTTTCGTTAAAAATATTACTATATTTGCATAGTGACAAAACGTTGAAACAACCACATAATTGGTTAAAAAAACTGTATAGTCGAAAAATCCTGGAGTTGTATATATCGAATTAATGTCATCTCACAAGCGAATAAAATGTAAAAAAATATTGAGTATTGGGTATTGGTCCACACACAACTTAATGGACATCAAACCACAAAACTGGAATATTGTGTTGGTAATGTAGTATACGTTACTAAAATATATGACCAATTTTGCAAAACTAGGCATTTTAATGTAAAATAATTTTATTTTAAAACTGGGCCATATTTTAATAGCTTAAAATCTCAATGATATTATGAATAAGGAAAAATGATTTTAATATTTATCGGCTTTTTCAGATTAGGCAGTGTAAATTGGCGTTTTGAAGTCACCGACGAACACTAAGACAGGCAAAAAATACACCAATAAAGAGACAGAAAAACAGACAATTGGATTATTTCACGGTTTTATAAACAAAAACATTCCATGAACAAATAAAAATATGTCTTGCATATTTTCATTTCAAACTGTATTCCCACAAACCAAGATAACTGGCTGCAACTTGGTTATTTTTATGGGTAAATTAAACTTCCAAATGAGTCAACTAACTCAATTATCCAACAACTACCACAAATAACATTACCAGGAAACCCAACAGCTTTGTCAATTTCTGAAACCTAATAAAGAATAATACGAATCCAATTATGTGGATGTGTCTAGTTAAATTTTGCTATAGTGAACTCTATATTACACGAGTCGCCATGAGAAATGACCTGTCACTGCTACACTTTTTCGGTTTTGAATTTTCTTTTAAAAGCTTAAAGAAAAGATAAGTCTGAATCAAAAATTAAAAATTTTAGCCATAATACTGTGCCATAATTTCTATTATTTACCCCTGTCTTGGAATATTTTACCTGTCGTATTGTTTTTACTTTACTCACCCCCTTGTGTTTAACAGTGTTATGCCTAGCGCTGCCATAAACAGCTGCAGGTCGGAACATGTTTACACAAGTCGTGCTTGTGTTTACAATCAGCTGATCAACTCTCGGGTTTACTGTTGCGTGTGTAGATTACAAACTACCTGACATGTCCGTTGATGAGAATTAACATGTATAAAATACGTATTTTTTGTTTCACATTACTTATGTTAGGTTTGGACTTTTAAATTGTGGAACGAATGTTGCCTACATAACAGGGTTTGGATTGGAATAAATAACTTATTTAACGCTTTAGGTTTTGGTTTACGTTTGTATGACATAAACTATAAATCAAATTGATCAGTGCATCCCTCACAAAACTTGCAAAAACTGTTTTCACGAACCTAAAATTATGTATTTTTCCTCATTTCCTATAATATTTATGTAATGATTATATTTCAAATGTACACAATAATAGTTGGTTTGTTATTGAAATGTTATCGTACAATGTTTTCCGTTCATTATAGTTGCAATTGATTTTACGCGTTTCCATAGAATACCCTTTACTCAAATAAAATCGCCTATGGTAATTTAGGTTCTCAGAATTATGTTTTAGTTTGTGAGCTCTAAGTAAGTTTCTTGCTCAGATTTGCATATTTTTTAGCCATCAGGATTGTTTGGATAAGATAGATTTACTGTTAGTAAGATTATCTTCTAGTTCAATATTAAAGTAAACTTATGTGTGTATACTGTACTGGCAGTAAGAAAATATTGGTTATATAATATGTTTACGAAATTTAAATGTTTATTATAAGCGGAGTATCACGCTAGGGCTATAATCCCTGGGAATGACAAGTGCAAAGTCTTGAATATTCATAAGCTTGTTGATGAAGTGGACAAGTCCCTTAGAAACATTGCCCTTAGCTTGGGAAAGTGCCACACATGAGAAAATGTCTTGCTGCTTCTTAATTTAAATCACGTAAGGTCTTTTTAGGTGATAAAGGTCATCATACAAAATAAATAACATATATATATGTGTCTTATATATGTCACATATGTATATCTTATATACATATATATATGTTTTAAAAGGTTGAACCGTTGCTTATTTGAGCTAAGTTTTTCAACACTGTTTATTTAGCTTGTATCGCCATGCAGACGTAGTATGTACATAGGTTTCTAGCATACAATGAAACATAGGCTATATCACGTTCAATCGTATATACTATAACGTGTTTTCCATCAAAGGAAATTGATGTTCGTATTCAGAAATAAATAACATATATTACATAAAATCTATGTCATCATTATTTTATGTTTATATTTATTTATATTATTTTTTTCGTTCGGTTTTATTACCAAAACACATTGATGTGACATTATTGTAAAGCATATTCCGAGCGTTTGTTTTTTGTTAGTTATGTAGTTTCAAGTTTAGCATTAAGACTGTCAAAAGGAGTATAGACAAAGGAGTATGCCTACTTCTTTTATCTATAGTTGTAGTGCCTGCCGAGGAATGCGGCTTAAAGTCTGCCACAACAATTCTGTCCGCTTTGCAAGTTATTTTTAAGCAATTTTAGATTATTTCAATGAATTTATTTATTTATTTATTTCATACGGAAACACCATTTAACAATAATATACATTGGCAGATTACACTGTTTTGCATAAAAATATAATAACAATAACAATAATAAAATGATTGGAAAAAATAGCTCTATACAATAATAACAAGAATAGCAATAACAAACATAACAAGAATCAACAAGAACAATGAGGTGAAAGTTTAACCAGGTACTTATGCAAATATAGAAGTGATTTTGAAACAGATTAATTTAACATGGTAATATTTAACAACAATGGATGGAGTATCAAAATATAAATAACAGCATATAAATATATAACAACAAGGAAGCTATACAAAGACACATAACAATGATAAATAGGCACATAAAACATGCAAAGACATGATGGTGAAATTTGAAAGAACAGCTACGATCACTAATAGAGATTTAGGTATAATTGCCCTTGCGAAGGATCTGAATTATAGCAGAGGCAGGTGATATAAGGGAATAAGAGGGCAGAAACCTCTTAAGGTTTCAGTATGGCCGAGGAGGTGAGGTATGGCAAGTGTTAGTATAGATATTATATACTCCCTTAAGTAAGTAATGAGTAATTTGAAGTAAGTAAGTAATTGTGTTGGTTAGTCTATAGTGATAGTTTATGCGATGGAAGGTTGTACCGTTGACTACACACTTCTCGATGTACTATACTCTCTCTATTGTACAGTGTGTGCAAATCGGCCGCAAATATCAGGGTTTTTCACGTCAAAAAATTGCTGTTTTATTGTAAAACTATCTGATTTAAAATTTACATCGTATAGGTCTATAATCGGATGGAAAAATATTTGGTTAAGTGAAATTTGTTTACAAGTCAATTTTCCACATTAAAATTACCAGAAAAATATTTCTTTATACGTGTAACTAGCCGTTCGCCGAATTATATACCGTTTTAACTGACCACTCGATTCCCGTACGTAGGACGGGTCAACCGTTCGTTCATATGAAAACATGAGTTAAAAATCAACTTGGAAACTGTCCGGCCAATAGAACTTTGCAGCAATATTGCATTTGAATTGCAATAAATGGAACATGGAGATTAAATCCATACGATGAACCCAATGAAAAAGCATTGCAACAAATAGTTTCTCGATATTGTATTTTAATCCCAAAGCTGTTATTCATGAGTAGTTGTGTAGTATTTTATTACATTCGATTGCTTATCCAGGTTTCCACTTCAAACAGGCAGAACAGTGAGTCAATTTCACCTTTTCAATACCAAAAAGGAAGTTAAATTAAAATATTTGTTTGATTGAAACAATACCTATTTACTATCCTCATATTTTTGTATTATTTCCCCAAACGGAATACGTTTTTAATTTTCGCGGTTACTCAGAAAACTGAGATAATTTTTAATGTGTTGCAAATATGACATAACAGGTCTACTATGGTAAAAATGACTTTAAATCTTAGGTTTAAAATAATACTTTTTGATAATAAGTAGGCCTAAGTAAGGGATTTGGGCAATCAAAAGTATTATAAAGTAAATGCCTTTAAATCTTAGGTTTAAAATAATACTTTTTGATAATAAGTAGGCCTAAGTAAGGGATTTGGGCAATCAGTATTATAAAGTAACCAAATTGTCTGGGTGGCAGAGCCCTCACATTCATCATTTCCAAATCTGATGGTCGATTCTCCGATTCCAAAAGATATGGCTCGATTTGCCATTAGACTTCTTGACCTTTACTTGAAAATTGACCTTTACCTAAAAAAAAAACTTTAACAAACCCCTTCGGAATTGATAACCACAAAATAAATAGACACTAAATTTCAGTTATTAAAGTCAAATCTGTAGCTTTGCTACAGAAGAGTGCTGCTAAAGTATTACTAAAAAATATTGCCAGGATTTCCTTCAGTCACTATACTCATTAATTCCCGAAAATATATCTTCCTGGATCTAATGAAAACGTATTTTTCGCGGCTATTCTGTCTTTTATATGTATATATTGCGGACACTGAATAAAATGAAAAATCGAAGCCACTACAACTCATTGTTAGGGCTCTATTTCAAGGGAAATGTGATTGTATCATCCAACGATGTATGTTTGAAACTGTAAGGTTTCAATTCTCAACGAGTTATACCAGTCTCTACCCTCCTCCAAGGTTATAAGCAGCTGTCACGTGACCCTATGACTGATCGTTCTATCCCCACCAGGCCCAGGGTGTTGGTAAACTGAGTGGACCAAATTGATTTTCTTCGTGACATTATCTCAACCTAGTACTACTATACTATATTATTGTATGGAAGCGAGACATGGGTCCTATCCAAGAGAAATGAAGGACGCTTGATTGTTTTTGAAAACAAGGTCCTAAGAAAAATATTCGGCCCAGTAAACGAAGAAGGAGAATGGCGGATTAGAAAAAACAGAGAGCTACGAGCGTTATACCAGGACCCTGATATAATAGCTTTGATAAAGGCAAAAAGATTAGGTTGGCTATGTCATGTGCTATTCACAGATTGTACTGCACAGATTGTATTGCGAAGGGAAGAAGGAACAAGACTGAAGGAAGTATGTTCTGCTGTACCAACTGGAAAGCGTCCACTGGGTAGAACAAAAATGAGATGGTATGACCAAGTTAAGAGAGATGTGAGTCAGTGTGGAGGGACAGTGGAGATGGCAGCGGACAGAGAAGCGTGGAAGAGGCTGATCTACGAGGCGAAGAATCGACTGCGATTTGTAGCGCCCCAGCAGTAAGTAAGTAAGTAAGTAAGTACTAGTATACTATTGTTCTTGAAAGTATACATTACAATATTAAGACATTATAATACTTTCTGCGTCAGTCTTTTTCATAGGTAAATATATTTATATCAAATATTTTTATATTGTGTTTTATGTACACACTTTCTAAGTCATGATATTCAATATAGTTAAATTGTATAGTTTTTTTTTGTAGAAGCTACAAGACCAAAAGACACAGAGCTCATATCACGAGTGTTGCCAGGTAGAAAACTGTCTCTATGGCAACTATAGTTTCATTAAACAAAATAGTACTTTGATGTAATAAAACAAACACACGAACGTTCATGTGAGTACGCGTCTCGAATTTCAATTCAATTTGGGTGCGATGTATTGTAGGGCAACAATCAATTTTCTTATCAAATTCATTATTTTATACTACACAAATTCCAAATGTATTAAAACACAAACTTCAACCACAGTAATTGATAAATTGAATGTTATGAAAGTTTATATAGAATCAATCGTAAATGAGTCATCCGTTAGACCTACGAACAAAGCATACTTATTAGTTTTATTGATATTTATATTTTTATAGAATTAGATATAGTTTGCTCAATTTTTTAATACACAAAAATGACGACAATATTTTAATTATTTTTGTACATGTATACAATACAGCTAACAATACAGCTAAGCACCCCATATTAGGATTAAAATACAAGCATGCTTATCACCATTAATATTTCAGCAACACATTTTAACTATAATAATTGTTAAATTTTTCAATTAGATTTAATTCGATTCAATACTGACGTTTTGATAATATAGATTTTAGAAATATTTATGAAAACGACTCTATGCATGTGCATTATTTGGTTCATATACAATTGGTTTAATTCAAGAACAATTTGTATTAGGTTTGGGTAAACATAACGGTCACATCTGTTTTTCCATAATTTTGAAATAATGACCAGCTGTTATTTCATAATTTGTTGGTCATTTCATAACCAACAACACCATTTTAGGCATTTTAGTTCTTAATATTTCCCTCAGAAATACAAAAGAGCCCATTATATATGCTGTGATTTTACGCAACCCAAATAATTACAAATTGAAACACCTTTTAACAACATAACCAGCGTATGATGTGGTCCCTGTTTCTTTACTTCAATGCCGATCTGCTATTATTAATCTTTCAAGTTATCTATGAGGTTTAATGTGATTTTGATAATTTATTGTGTAAATGACACACAATATTGGGTTTATACTTGCTTAAAACAGCTTGCAAAATCGCCAAGTTAAGACTTATTAAGAATAAATTCTCAATAAAACAAAATATCTTTGATAAAAACTATGCAAAAAATTCATATCAGGTGATTGTCAATGAAATCAAGAATGCAGCGATAGCAAAGTGTGATCTTTTTGTTCGTTAAACAGTATCTTATGGTACGTATAATTTGGATTGCGTAAAAAACACCCTGTATATGCGAATATGAGTTGGACATTGAAAGTTTACTAATGTCATGGTGACTGGACTGATAATTCAAACCTAGAAATGGGATATGGATATTATTTATAGTCCATTCAACTGACAAATCTTCTCTTTTGTATAAATTAAAAGCCTTTAAAAGTTCTTAAAAAAAGTTCAACCAATCTTTTTTTAATTTTGCAAGCACTAAAAGTGTATAACTAATACATATAGTGGCATAACTTGAAAGGGGACTTTACCCTCTATATATATATTTGTTTACATCCTTATGAGCTCGATGACAAACTAAGTTAAAAACAAATAAACCAACGTCCCACACACATCACGTGTCATTCACATTCATCCTGTGGTTGATCATTTGTATTTATTACCGAGAGGGTTAAAGTGATTGTTGTTTCACCCTCTTTATGCGATTAATGGTCGTTTGTGACTGTCGGAAACATCGACGATAAAATAAAGTATCCTTTTACGTGTAAATTCATAAACATTTGGGACCCTGCAAGAATCATGTGGCTTTAGTGAGGGAAGTTCTTTGACTCATAGAATGTTTTCTGCGTCTGCTATACTAACCATTTTTCGTTTAGCTGGCTCCACACCTTAGGGTATATAGTTTAACACACAAAACTGCATTTCCGATTGATGTAATTTATTATAAGGGTTTCTAGTTTTGAGACAGGTGGCAGATTACAGGTGACAGGTGTTCAGGTTGGTGATATTGTCTTTTATTTTTATATATTCCCTTGTATTCCAGTGCAATAGTCATATGATATTTCCATTATCATTACTGCCCTTAATCATTAGCAATGGTCGTATGATTTAGATTATTTGCTTGAATCTTAATAGTCTATTGTTTTAGCAGGATTTATCTTCTCCAAGGAAGTTATTCTCAATTGGAATGGATAGTATTAGCATCTAATATTTCTTCTTTTTTTGAGGTAAAAATGTATAACAATACAATTGCTATTTTACATATATTTTATTAGGAAGCGGAGTCAGTCAGATTAATAAACTAAAAAAACTGTAATTTTGCTATATTGAGAAGTTTAACTATAACAGAATATATATAACGTTTAGTTCGTAATCAATACTATAACCAATTAAATTGAAATTAAATTAATTAAAATAAAAAGTAAAAAAACTATAAAAACTGAGTCAAAGTTGTTATTACAAATTTATCGAACCGTATGTTTTATTAGAATAAAGTACATAAGTCTAACGATAAACTACGAAAGAATGAGCCATAGTGTTTAAAGAAACTGTTATAAAAACTGTATTAAATAAATTGTTTAAAAATATAGTTTCAACTTGGATTTTGCGTTATAAATTTAAAATCCCATTTGTACTTTCATGGTATGATTGTTGTTGAGTTTAGACTCCAGCTCCAATCAGCAAACTACAACAACACAATCTGTGGCTATCGACAGTATTCTGATTTAGCTGTGGTTAGCCATTCACATCCATAGTGCACTACACGTGCACCACTGTGGCAGTCAGGGGAAATATAGATATTTGATTGGGTCTAGGCACAAGGGAGTTATGTAACTCAGTTACACATTTACGTTCAAACTCATTTTATTGTCTGCTATTTTATGATGGTATCACTACACAAATAAACTTTTCCTTTTATACGTATAATAGAACGATGTTTTAAGAGCACAGATTATTAAAATAAAAACAATCTGCCATTTGACTGAAAAATGGATCTTTGAATTATAAAGTTCTATCGATAGTTCTTTTGTAAATACCATCGTTAAGGTCGATTCACACATATCAGTTCAGTCACAGTTCCGTTACAGTCCAGTTTCAGCTCAGTCTTAGTTGCATCCGCAATTTCTCATTCAACTGTCCGTCAGTTGGTTTCAGTCAGTCTTCCGTCTCTAAAATTTACATACAAAACTTTTAAATTATAAACCTATATTCTATCAAATTTTCATTGTCCATCTTGTTAATTGTTACAAACAGTACTCATAATATAAACACAATCATTTAAACAACAATAACACTATTTTCTAACCTAAAACAGGTCCGTCAGGCGTCCGAAATATCCAAAAATATCGGTGGAAAGAAATCTGAAATTGACTGACGGACGCCGACACAGCCACTGATGGAACTGCAACGGCTGAGTGTAGATAGCTCAATAGAAAATCCATTAAAGAATATTTTTGTTAACTGTAACGTGCCTGAAGTGACTGGACTGTGACGTTCCGTAACTGATGTGTGTGAATCGACCTTTAATGTGTTAAATAGCTTCCGTCATTGACGCATGATCCACACAATTGTATTTGGAATAGTTTATTTTAATGATCAGATACTTATTACTGTATCAGTACTTTTTACCACACGTTTAGCTGTTAAACAAAAGTAAATTAAACCAATGTATTTAATAATATTTTCAAACCTACATTAAAATTAGTACGGAGCAAAGAATCCGTGTTTTTAACAATTTTATAAACTCAGTTTCGGTTTGAAAACATCCCAATAAACAATGATATCATGAACAAAAAGTGTTAGGTAATTTCATTAATTTATAATTGGTAATATTGTGTTATAATATATTTTGTAATTGTGTTATATACTGTTTTGTTTGTTGGAAAATACACCGTGTCCCAAAAAAAACTGAACAATTTTAAATTGTTATATAATACGTCCAGGCATATCTAGTCTACTTTGAAGGTGGTCATATGATAACTGAGCTCATGAAGTTTTGTTCAATATCAATTGTAACTATCAGCTGATTCATTGTTGTCGCTTGAAACTTGAAATTTAAAAATATTGCCCTGTCATTAAGCAGGCACCGTGAACGCACGAGAGAAAGCGCAATGCGTTGAGTGATACATTCAAAGTAAGTCAGATATTGCAGTGCAAAGAACATTTAGAAGACGCTATGGTCGACGTCCTCCATCACGGAACAGCATTCGAGCCTGGTATGACAAATTTATGTTAACTGGAAGCTTACAACATTTAAAAGGTAAAGGTAGGCCGAAAATCCAAAATAAATTGATTGAAACCGTGCAACAATTATTTCTTCACGACCCTCGAAAGTCTATTCGCTGTGCAGCATGTGAGTTAAATTTCAAATTTGTCAAAATTATAAGTTTACTAGCAGTAACCCGCGGGCTTTACCCCGTTTAACTTCTTAATTTTCAAGATTATCTCGTTCGCATGGCTCAATCACGTCCTGGTTGAAGTTTGTTCGCTACGCTCACTCACCTTTAGGTTGGAGCTCGTTCGCTGCGCTCACTTGCCTTCAGGTTAGCTCGTTCGCTACGCTAACTCGCCTCCAGGTTGAAGTTCGTTCGCTACGCTCACTCACCTTTTGGTTGCAAATTAGCTGTTGTCATAAATGTAAAAGAAATAATAGTGCTGCACCCTGTTGGTAATCCTTGTAACTTTAATGCTATTGAACATCATAGAACAGAACCAACTTGTTTAATTGAAACAGCTGTTAAGATTCAATAATTCCATTTCTCATAAGATTAACATGGGAAACTCCAGAGCCACTGGGGCGGAGCCCGATGGATT